TCGGGCCCGGGGCGGCCGTGCTCTCCGTCTCTGCTTCCTCCGCGCGCTGGCGCTGGCGCTTCGCGGATGCTTCCGCCTCCTGTCTGTGCCATTTCCTCATGAACCATGCCGCCCCGTCCTCGATCTTGTCGTACCACGCCTCCTGGTCCTTGGCGCTCTCTTTCCATCTCCCCCCCTCCTCCTTCTCCTCTTTCATGCCAAACGCCACGAGGTCCTCTCCTAGGCGATACACCCAGTACGTATGACGGCTTGGATCCTGGAACAGTGCCGACTCAAAGAAAATCTACGCATGATGGGTTGGATCCTGAACAGTGCCAGCAACTCCAAGGAAAACTACGTATGATGGCTCGGATCCTGAGCAGTGCCAAAAACTCAAAGAAAAACTACTCTAACCAAGACCTCCAAGGCGCTATGCACAAGCACAAGCCAACCAATATCGCGATGTCGACCAAACGTCTGATTCTTTGATTGATCAGCATTGATCGCGCTGTGTAACCGGCCGATCAAATGACAAATGCGCGAGACGAGCACAAACGCTCTCGTCGTACAGTACCGAGACACTAAACTCGAACGTCATTTCTATTCCGCGGCTCGTCTGCCGGCTCCCCCGATAGAGGGGGGATGGGAAGTATGTGTTTTGCTTGTATTGCGACACGCTCGAATGTTCCCATGTTGTTTTTGAATAGGAGCTTTTCATACCGACACTTCTGGACAGGCGCTCACCCTTCTTCCCGCGACGTGGTTTTCAGCCCGGTTTTAGTTCGTGTCATGTTTAAATGGAGGGCGTGGTTGTTTTCTGCTTCATGTTTTTGAGTTCCTTGGTCGCAAGAGCATCTCATCTTTGGGGATTCAGGCAGGAGAGAGAGCTCCATGTGTCCTAACTCTACCACTCGCCCCTACGTTTGCCCAATTTATCAGGAATGTGCAGTCGCTTGTGGAGCAAGGTCAGAAGGGAGAGCTCACCATGCAGCCCGGCAAGAGTATGATGGAGAGTCTAGAGTCTAGCATTAACAAGGTATGACCAGGCTGCAGGCTGGAGTTATCACGGCAAATTGAGTAGGTGCCTCAGTATGTTAGCTACCTCGGCTGTGTTGATTGGCTTGGTTTGTTTTTCCAGACGTATTCGGTTCGTGGGTTCATTTGACTCGTGAGGTGTGACTCGGTTCATCAGATCATTTCTTTGGATTCATTGAATTCAACAGGTTGGCGCGATTAGTCAGATTGGTTCGGTTCTTTGGGGGGCTAATTAAAAATGTTCGCTTGACTCGAGTAGCCAGACAGATTGGATTCGTCGGCATTCCTGCTCCCATTTTTGATTCCCATTGTTCATATTTCCCCATCTCCTTGCGCTTAACAAAAAAAAAAGGTGCTGAACACGGCTCGAGACGAGTCCGGTACCTCCGCCCAGGTTAGTCTCAACGAGCGCAACGCTGTGAAGGCAATGGCTGACGCCGGTTCGAAGGGTTCCTTCATCAACATCTCGCAGATTCTGGCCTGCGTGGGGCAGCAGAACGTGGAGGGGCAGCGGATCCCGTATGGGTTCAAGAGAAGAACACTTCCCCACTTCGCCAAGGTGAGGGTGATGTCTTTTTGCTGTTGTTTTTGTTGTTGTTATCCCACAATCCTGCGACCGCTCTCGTCGGTTCGTTTTTTCGAAAGGACGGACCGATACGCGAATCGCGTGTTTGCCGAAACGACAACTGGCTGAAGGGGCAGAGAAACGAGGAATTTCGGAACCACAAGTTGTCACACTCTTATTGGTGGTTGTTCCTTTGCTGTTAGGGTACAGCTATGCCGACCGCACCAGTACAAGCAGCGGCTACCAAGCACAACGCGCTTGTACCGGTCTGATATACTCAAAAGCGAGGTTTACAATGTAGTGTTCCACCTGCGGGCATGTGCCCTTCCAACGGACCTTGATCCTTTCGGTGTGCTCTGGATAGGCAGGGGCTCCCTCTACATTTAGGCATCCAACCGCCTACCCATTGGTTATCTGTGCTAAATTGCTCAAACTTTCAACTAATTCCTCACCGGCCAATCACTCCCTCCGCCTCCATTGCTGAACGCGCGCTTGTGATGTGTTGTGACACGATGGCGATAGGACGATTTGGGGCCGGAAAGTCGAGGGTTCGTGGAGAACTCTTACCTTCGAGGGCTTTCACCGCAGGCGAGTATCGGCGGCTGTTTTCTGTGTGTGACGGGGGTGGATGTAGTTTGAGTTAGCGGACACATATGATGTCGCGTTGTGCATCCCTTTGAGGATGGATCGATTTGTTCAAGGGGTCATTCGGATGGCGCGGTCGATCTATTATTTTGCAAAATAAGTTCGCACACAAGATTTGATCTGTTTGTTTCCGCCATGGAGGAGCAGTTCGTCTTGCTCAGCCTGTCCGAGGAAAGTTCGTGCTTGTTGTTCCTGAAGCTGGTTGCTTCTCTAGTTGCTGCTGTCTTCTCCTTCCCCCCTCACAGTTTTCGAGTGTCTTTTCAGGAATTCTCAATCCACGCCTTGTTTCTGACGCTCGCTGTTTCTCTATTTGCTGCTCTTGTTCCCTCGCACTATTTGTGGCGTGTCTTCCCAGGAGTTCTTCTTCCACGCCATGGGAGGCCGAGAGGGACTCATCGACACGGCGGTTAAGACGGCCGAGACCGGCTACATCCAACGGCGATTGGTCAAGGCCCTCGAGGCCGTAAGCGCCAAGTACGACGGCACCCTGAGAAATCAGAACAATCAGGTAATAGCAAACCCACATTTGCTAGGCCTGTACTCCGTAGACGATTTTTTTTCGCGCTTAAGATACACTTAACTTTTCCTCCGCTCCATTGTCAGTATATTACAAAAATCGACATAGAAAACATCAGGCAATCGCCTATGGCACCACGCTCTTGAAACAGAGCCACGACTGTACAATCAAGGAGAGACCACCCATTATAGACAACACCACAGTGGTCGAAAGGGGATGTGCTGAATGAAGTCTTCACAGCGAGTGGGAAAAAATCCAGGACGTGCTTGATGAACAATTGCGTGTCCGTCCTTTTTTTGCCTTTTATTTTCTCTTTCTTGAAACAGGTGGTCCAGTTCTTGTACGGAGAAGACGGGATGGACGGCGTGTGGGTCGAGAAGCAGAGGTTCGACATCTTGCTCATGAGTAAGAAGGACTTCCGAAAAGCCTACGAGATCGACGTTAACCACGCCAAATTCGGCTTCAGCCAGCACGTCACCGGCCAGCGCTACCTCACGAGAGAGGTAATGAGCACTTAGAACACAAGCAGTCTATTGAAGTAGCAAATATCATAGGCATGAAGGCTTGGCTACACGGGGAATCCGCTACAGCCAGATGGGTGTATGGAGAGATCACCAGCAGCCACTGCTTATGTCTACAGGGGCTAGTCATGTTCCGTCATTTCCCACCGGGAGGTTGTTGTTCGTACCGCCAATGACCACACGGAGCGCCAGCCCCCGACAAGGCTGTCCCGTGCTCTGAACGGTGCCGCCACAGCGTCGATAAAGTTGGCTGCCAAGCACATGGCGAATCTATCACCCCTTCTCCGAGATACACAGGCTGTGGATGAGGCGAGGAGGCGGACATGACATGCTCGACATAGAGCTGGCGGGCAAGCTCCTGACCCCCTCCGTCCTCTCGAGAATGCGTGGTCAATGGTCTAACAAGTTCAGCATGCAAACCATGAGAACGCACCCCCATACTTGAACCACTTGAACCACTTGTACCTGCAGGTGGGGGGGAAGATTGACAAGATTCTCCGCATAGAGCTGGTGGACAAGCTTATGAGCCCTTCTATTTATACATTTTTTTCCCTTAAAATAGGTGGTGGATGAGGCGAAGACAGACGAGACCCTCCGCATAGAGCTGGCGGACGAGCTTGAGCAGCTTCGGATGGACCAGAAGAACCTGGTCGTTATTTTCGCGGCCAGGGGGCCCGAGGAGGGAGCCACACCCGTCGCACAGGTGAGGACGGGCGAGAGAGGAAGAGCGGGAGGGAGGGGGGAGAGCGAGAGAGAGAGAGAGAGAGACAGAGAGAGAGACAGAGAGAGAGACAGAGAGAGAGACAGAGAGAGAGAGAGAGAGAGAGAGAGAGAGAGAGAGAGAGAGATAACGAGTCACCCCCCAACGTCTGTGGAGGACGATTCGCTCTTTTCACATACGCTCAATCGTGCAGACTTCCCACCCAGATACTCCGGACCCCAAGCCGGACCCAAGCCCTCCCCACACTAACCTCGCGAGCTCCTACCCCCCCAAGCATTCATTCCCCTGAGCCCATGGAACCCCCCCCCCCTTCCCCCCCCTCTTGTCTCCATAGGTGCCGGTGAACATCAAGCGCTTGGTGTGGAACGCTCAGAAGATGTTCCAGATCAAGCCGTACGGGGAGTCGGACATGTCGCCGACGTACGTCATCAGGCGCGTCCGAGAGCTTTGTGAGGGGCTCTCCGTGGTGACGGGAGAAGACTCGCTGTCCGTCGAGGCGCAGAGCAACGCCACTATGCTCTTCAAGATCCTGGTGAGCTTCTGTGGCTGGCTGGCTTGGGTGGTGGTTGGACCGCGGGGTTGAGGCCATGGTTTGTGTTTTGGAACGGGGAAGATTCGTTGAGACCGATAGAGACCGGTTAAGGCTCCCAAATATGTGTCTTGTGTGTCGCTGGATGTTTGTCGGGGGTACATGTAATCGTTGTACCCTACTTTGTCTTTGTTTTTATCGTGGACGCTGTGCTGTTTCCTCCGTGGCACACCGTCTCTTGAACTGGCCAGCTCTTGCATGTTGCACTGAGGGATATCGCCTGTTGCGTCCTGTTTTGACGCGGGTGTGCACGCGGCAGGTTCGTTCGGAGATGTCGGCGAAGAGGACGCTCATGGTGTACCGCCTCAACAAGGCGGCCTTCGACTACGTCATTGGGGAGATCCACGCCAAGTTCATGTCCTCCAAGGTATCTATTGATAGATCCATCACAACTGTGAAAGTTTACTCCCGTCCCTTGGTTGAGTTGGGGTGCCCCCCTCCCTCCGCTAAATAGAAAACAATTTCACCTCAATCGAACAAGTGCATCTTTCCGACGCCGCCCTTTTCGGCACCGGCACTCCTTCCCCTGGAGGAGCAACCCAGCTTTGAAACCCGGCCCCCTGTAGGGGTCTGATACACACCCTCAGACGTGTCGTGTCGCCGCAACCCACCCTCCTCGCCTCCCGCAACATGAACACCGGTCAAGCTTGGAAAACTCGGCCCCAAAATGGCCAAAATGGGGTTGATACACGTCAGAAGCGCTATTTGCAGCCGCCACCTACTACAACAAACAGCCTGTCGTCATCGCGACCCCTCCCGCCCCCCGTTACATAAATATCGGTCCAGCTTCGAACCTCGACCCCTCATCTCATGTACATCGTCCCAAGTGCCATGTGGCCCCGCCACTAACCACGACCAACTCCCTCCCCCTCTCAAAAACATAAATCGTCAGGTAGGCCCCGGCGAGATGTGCGGCGTTCTGGCGGCGCAGTCGATCGGAGAGCCCATCACCCAGATGACGCTCAACACCTTCCACTTCGCCGGTGTCAGCGCGAAGAACGTTACCCTGGGAGTGCCTCGAGTGAAGGAGATCATTAACGTGGCGAAGAACGTACGGACGCCGTCTTTGACGATCTACCTGGAGGAAAGGGCGGCGGGAGCAGACGAGGCGGAGGGGCAGGAGGTCGCAAAGCGGGTGAGTTTGTCGTGGCGTTGTGGTGAAGGTGAGGTGGTTTCGTGTTCGCTTTGGGCATTGGGGTGGAGGGTGGGGTAGTCTTGGTACGTGGGACAAAAGAGGACGATGTATACATGTAGAGAGAGAGAGAGGGAGAGAGGGAGAGAGAGAGAGAGAG